CATATTAAGATAAATTAGCAGAACAATTGTATTGTTAAAAATATGTTCAAGTTCACTGCAATCAATTTATGGATTCGTCATAAATGTAGTGGGTCGTTGTCTACTTCAGGTTAACGGGTGACCCGTCTTGTCTGTGGTTGGCTCAAGTTCTCTGACGTCACTTACCCTGGACCTAAAGGCCGTTCGCCCCTCGTCTCCCGACCAATCAATTTCGCGTTTACCTCGAGTAGGCAATTTTTACCCATCAGCTGCCGTAAAATATGCGTCTGACTCGGCCCGCTGATTCTATTGAGGTGGTTGGTGTCCTGGAGTTGTACCCAGACCACGGCTAGATCAACCAGACTTGCCACGTTGGCAAGTGTAAAGTCATTCAAATCATACATGTCTAAGATGTTGTCATGGTTACAGTCGTGGTAGTCAGAAAAATTAATCAAAGTTAAAATTTTCAGAAAATTTTCAAATTATTTGTTTACAAATATCTTGTTTTTGAACAATTTTGATCCAAAAAAGTGCCTACCTAACTTAAGTTAGTTCACTAAATACAAATAAACACACAACATATTTCACTATGAAATGACGGGCAAGTCTTGAAGTATTGTTGTACACTGTTCTAAAGACAGTAAAGTCAAACATCACAACTATATAGCTCATTAACACCACACAATTACACATCACTATAGCGTCGATTGCATGTCAATAAAAAAGCTTCTAAATCAGTTGCATCGTGTAAAAATATTTTTTTTATCAAGATCACTTAAAATAAACTGTCAACTTTTTACTGCAACACCACGTAAATGTAAACTTTATACCGAAACATTAGGTAAATATAAACTTTGTACTGCAGCATCAGATAAATGTAAATTTTGTTTAACCAACGTATCAGCTGTACACATGCCCAGCGCGTTGACCCACACAGCCAATGTTGTACATATGTTGTACATATTGTTGTACACATGTTGTACACATGATGTACACATGTTGTACAGATGTTGTACACATACCCAGTACGTTAGCCCACACAACCAATGTTGTACACATGGTGTACACATGTTGTACACATGTTGTACACATGTTGTAACACATACCCAGCACTATGTCCCACACAGCCAATGTTGTATATATACGTCAGCACTTAAACTCTTTTCATAACAATTTTTCTATATTTGAACTCGACATTTATAGAAAAGATGTGTAAATAGCTAGATGTTTCAAATACATAAATGTCAGTAGCTCGGTAGCTGTAAAATGTTTGTGTCGATAGCTTTGTTTGTGTGAACCACTTGGGCTAGGGGATGTGCTTATGTCCCACTCTACTCCACCTGCTCTCACACTTAAATGTCATGTCTCTCGATCATTGCCCTGATATCCTAGACTCACAGCTTACATGATAGTCACCACTTGATCGATCTCTCCAACTGTTGACCTGAACTCGACAGCTTACACCCAGGTGGACTCAGTAGCGAGACAAACATGTAAGGAAGGTGTACAAACTCAACAGCCCCCGAGGTCACGCGTTACCCATAACGTGTTACCTTAACGTGTTACCCCGACGTGTTACCCTAACGTGTTACCCTAACGTGTTACCCCGACGTGTTACCCTAACGTGTTACCCTAACGTGTTACCCCGACGTGTTACCCTAACGTGTTACCCTAACGTGTTACCCTAACGTGTTACCTTAACGTGTTACCCTAACGTGTTACCTTAACGTGTTACCCTAACGTGTTACCCTAACGTGTTACCTTAACGTGTTACCCTAACGTGTTACCTTAACGTGTTACCCTAACGTGTTACCTTAACGTGTTACCCTAACGTGTTACCCTAACGTGTTACCTTAACGTGTTACCCCGACGTGTTACCCTAACGTGTTACCCTAACGTGTTACCCTAACGTGTTACCTTAACGTGTTGCCCGTACGTGTTACCTTAACGTGTTACCCTAACGTGTTACCCTAACGTGTTACCTTAACGTGTTACCCTAACGTGTTACCTTAACGTGTTACCCTAACGTGTTACCCTAACGTGTTACCTTAACGTGTTACCCTAACGTGTTACCTTAACGTGTTACCCTAACGTGTTACCTTAACGTGTTACCCTAACGTGTTACCTTAACGTGTTACCCTAACGTGTTACCTTAACGTGTTACCCTAACGTGTTACCCTAACGTGTTACCTTAACGTGTTACCCTAACGTGTTACCCTAACGTGTTACCTTAACGTGTTACCCTAACGTGTTACCTTAACGTGTTACCCTAACGTGTTACCTTAACGTGTTACCCTAACGTGTTACCCTAACGTGTTACCTTAACGTGTTACCCTAACGTGTTACCCTAACGTGTTACCCTAACGTGTTACCTTAACGTGTTACCCTAACGTGTTACCTTAACGTGTTACCCTAACGTGTTACCCTAACGTGTTACCTTAACGTGTTACCCTAACGTGTTACCTTAACGTGTTACCCTAACGTGTTACCCTAACGTGTTACCTTAACGTGTTACCCTAACGTGTTACCTTAACGTGTTACCCTAACGTGTTACCTTAACGTGATACCCTAAAGTGTTACCTTAACGTGTTACCCTAACGTGTTACCTTAACGTGTTACCCTAACGTGTTACCCTAACGTGTTACCCTAACGTGTTACCCTAACGTGTTACCTTAACGTGTTACCCTAACGTGTTACCTTAACGTGTTACCTTAACGTGTTACCGTAACGTGTTACCTTAACGTGTTACCTTAACGTGTTACCTTAACGTGTTACCTTAACATGTTACCCTAACGTGTTACCCTAACGTGTTACCCTAACGTGTTACCCTAACGTGTTACCCTAATATATATCTTACAGCTTTACATAGTACAACTTTACATCTTCAAATTTACATCTTACAGCTTTAAAACTTCTTCAAATTTACATCTTACAGCATTACATCGTACAATTTTACTTCCTACAACTTTACATCTTAAGGTTTACATCTTACAACTTTACATCGTACAATTTTACTTCGTACAATTTTACATCTTCAAATTTACATCTTACATCTTTACATCGTACAATTTTACTTCGTACAACTTTACATCTTCAAATTTACATCTTACAGCTTTACATCGTACAATTTTACTGCGTACAATTTTACTTAGCACAAATTTACAACATACAACGTTAAATCTTTAAACTTTACTTTCTACGTTAACTTGATTGATCTTCCATCACCTGATGTTGTAAAAAGATTGAATCGAAACCTCCTTACAATAATTGACAAACTTGAACTTGTCATGTTAACCTCAAGTCGATTGTCTATTTTGTGGATCGAGATTTTTATTGAAGTTTAGGTCAAATGTGCTTTGGTAGATTAAACGTTGTCTTATTTTAAAATTTACATTACGTCAAATGTGCTTTGGTAGATTAAACGTTGTCTTATTTTAAAATTTACATTAGGTCAAATGTACTTTGGTAGATGAAACGTTGTCTTATTTTAAAATTTACATTAGGTCAAATATACTTTGGTAGATTAAACGTTGTCTTATTTTAAAATTTACATTAGGTCAAATGTGCTTTGGTAGATTAAACGTTGTCTTATTTTAAAATTTACATTAGGTCAAATGTGCTTTGGTAGATTAAACGTTGTCTTATTTCGGGTTCACGTGAAGTTTTAAAAATTTACAAATGTACATTAGCCTTTCACGGGGGGGGGGGGGGGTTGGGGAAAGGACGGGGGTTAGTGTTTTAAAGCAAATATTTTCAGTGGCAGCATTGGTACTGTCGAAATCACAAATTATGAATTACTGAAAAGTAGAAAAAAAAACAGTTAAATAGCGGCGTATAAATACGCCGCGGGTCGGCACGTATATTTTATATATGTTATATATATATAACCGTTAAGCTAGGTTGGTGAAATTTCTTATATAAGTATTATATTAAATTTATGGTTCTGTCTCAACTTTTCAGGCATTTCCGATAAATAAAAGTGGAACTTATTCTACTTCCAATTTTTCAAAACCCTATAACTTGAGTACTTATTCAGAGAGATAAATTTCACACGTAAGTGAATGATTTAATTCTCTGCCTTCTGTCAAATTTTGTTGACTGGAAGTAGTAATTTACGCTATTTCCGATTTCTCAAAAAAACACATGTGAATATATAATTACTCACGGCTTATTTGAATATATTGTGTAGAGTGAGCACTTTACATCGTACAACTTTGGTTTGACGTAATCGATCTATAAACACCCTATATTGTAAAGTCATTGAATCGAATCTTTCCCACAATAAATGCCAAACCTGTCTTGTTGGCCGTAAGTTGTCTTATTTTGGGTTCACGTGAAGTTTTAAAAATTTACATTAGGTCAAATGTGCATTAGCCAAAAACGACCGACTTTTTTTACAATATGTAACAATCGAAGAGGGAATTGTAAGACGTCACACTCATAAGTGGTTTCATTCATGGCCAGACGTACAAGGTAAACAGCCCGCATTTATTTCAACACAGTTCAGGTGCAAATAGATTCGTGGTCGCCATTTTACTTTATAAAGCTGCTTCATCAAAATGACTTCTTTAATTCCTCCAGATTGTGTGAACATTTCATTATTAGCATTTACTGGGGGGGGGGGGGGGGGTTGGGCATGACTAAAACCGCTGGCAGACATGACGTATTAAAGTCAAGTGAGGTATGGGGGTCACAGTTAGGTCAGGGACAACATGGGGGTTGTGGGAGGGGGGGACGCAGTTATTTCCAGTACCACATGGGGGTAGTTAGGTCAAAGGATAATTTAGAGTTTTATGTCCGGTATCCGAACTCGTGACATTCGTGTGAACAACTTTTTTTCTGCCACTAGACCACGCCATCACCCCATATCTCACGATGTTTGTACCACAATCCCGCACTGAATGTACACAGCTACACAGACAGACAGATACACAGACAAACAGACGGATACACAGATAAACAGGCAGACACAAATACACAGACACACAGATAAAAAGATCTAAAAAAAAAGTTTATACAAGTTTTGCAGATGTCTTTAATTTCAACAAAAGTGTCACATGACCGCATGTGTTACCATAGTCACAATTCTAACAACGACATGGACTAGTCACTGGCTAGCCAAAAAAGGCAAGAAAAGCGCTGTTGGTCGCCAAACTGGCAACGTATCTGGGGAAACATTTTTTTTAATGTAAACATCATTGGTAATCAGAGAATCATAACCTATTTTTTTCTAGGATCGCAGCAACGCGCGCGACGGGTACGCTTGTTATCAATAAGAAAAAAAAACAACGTTTACTTATTTAACACATGAAGAACTTAGTGCGTACTCTAAGATATTCAATGTTTATATTCTTCGTCTATGGGCACTATTGGTAAATACATGTATGTATTAACGACGTTTTGTTGATTGTTTAAATTAATTTTCCTCTGTTCTGTTTAAAAACGCAATTAGAACTAGAAAGAGAATCTTATAGTAAAAAAAAACATGTTATTATTTTATTGTAATAAATTTATGGATCCAGCATTAATACAGTGTACTATCCTCCCCAAACAAGCCTGTTTCAAGTTCTCTCACTTGGGTCACCCTTCTCCACCCCCCACCTCTCCCCCATCTAGTGTCACGTGTGAACCATCTTGTATTGATCTACCACCACCCTGACCGACAGTGAACGACCAATCGACTTACGCGCCAAACTCGAGGACGCCATTTTTCCCGTCACCATTCTGGTCAACGGTCGCGAAATATACGTCATACTCGGCCGGGCTGATTCTACTGTCGTGGTTGGTGTCGATGAGGCTCCCCCAAATCAAGGCCAGATCGACCAGACTCGGCACGTTGGCAAGTGTAAAGTCTTTCAGCTCGTCCATCGCTATCTTGTTGTCATGGTTACAGTCGTAAACCTGGTAGTCAGAAAAACTAATCAAAGTTCATTTTTCAGAAAAAAATTAATAAACCTGAAATTGATTCTATAAATCTTATCTTTTAAAAAGTTCTGATTAAAAACACAATTTCTTTTAGAGTTTTAGTTGTCTTAGAATAAATTAAATACACAATTTATTTTACTATTTAAAAGGAATCAATACAAGCATACTGTGGATAATGTTATTGCCTATAAAGTGTACTAGTTTGTATACTGTTCTAAGAATAATAAAATCAGTTATCACATGTACACACCACAATAACGCTGCATAATTAGAAATCAGTGGCTTACGCCATTGATTCCCAAAAAAGACAACCGTTTGACGTTAAGTTACAGCTATTGGCTATGGTGAACTTTTTTTACTATCATTTAGTGCTTAAACAACAAACATTGAGGGTCGCAGGCTCTAGAACTACCATGTATATTATTGTAAAGAGAATCACCTGTACATCTTAGAGTTATAAATATCGCTGGAAGTTGATTTATAATCATATAGAACGCTGTAGGGCAGGGGAAAGATGACCAAGGTTGGATCAGTTAGGGGTTGTCGATGTGCTGAAGGTCAAATGGACGTGGGTAGTTGTTTAGTGTGTAAGGCTACAAGATGCGCATCTGACAGGAAAACTTTGGCGTGACCCACAATCGTTGACAGTGTAGGGGTAGGCGTGGTCGAGTCGGTAAAGTTCATGGTTGCTAAACCGAAAAGTCTCGAGTTCGAACCCTCTGGCACGTGAGGTAACTCAAAAATCAAACAACTGCTGCCTTGTAGTTTGTTCTTGGTTGGACAAAGGCTATGGAAGCAAATCCAAAAAGAAAAGCAGGCTGAGATTAGAGTCAACGGCCTACATGGCGAATAAGTTGACAGCACCAGGTAATTGTATAACTTTAATACAACACCAGGTAATTGTGTACCTTTAATACAACACCAAGTAATTGTATACCTTTAATACAGCACTAGGTACCTATAAGTGTACCTCTATGTATTTACCACAAATCAACAACACCTACCAGAAAAGCGTCCCAGATGTCAGTTTTGGACAAAAAGCCGTCATTGTTGCTGTCAAGCTTGGTATAGAGAGATGAGGCGTCGTTGATTGCTTCGTTGAGGGTATAGCCCAGGGTCAAGGCCGGCAGAAGGACGAGTACCCAGACTGATGCCATTGTGACGCTGGGGATACCATCACCATTTGAACTCTATAACACTTCAGTTGTATACACGACCAGCACTTTAACCCTACTAGTCTATGCAAATATGTTTGTATATATATATATATATATATATATATATATATATATATATATATATATATATATTATGATTATTTATCTTTATATATATGGTATATATAAATAATCTATACAGATTTTAGCGACCAATGATTATTTTTATTGAAAGCAGGTCTGCATTATTATTTTTTTAATTGTCTGTGTGTTAAAAGCGTATTATTGTAAAAGGCTTTTTTTTTAAATATGTGCATTGTGGTAAAAAAATCAATTAAAATAAACGCTTCACACTATTATATCTGGACAGTAAAAAGCTCTAACCATTCTGTTTTAGTTTTTGAATCACCTAAAGTCATTTATCTAGACAATAAACAACAAAATCTACTCATCACACCATTCAGTTTAGACATCAAAAAATAATTAACCATTGTATGATTGATTCTATCTATTAAAATAAAGAACGAATTGCATAAACACAACTCACCAGACCCGATGAAAACTGCTCACAGAATTCTCTCAAAGATCAACAATGTTTTAAGCTAGGCTCGTCCAACTATAAGAACACTTTTGTAACAATCTAAAACAAACTACAAGTTTAATAATTCTGTCCGACCACTTTTCTAACAACTTAAAACAAACTCATGTCATATTTCGATCAATATAAAATCCATATCACTCGTCATTTCTTTATAAAAATCCAAGTGTTAACAGAGAGTGTGTTCATTTTCTGTCCTTACAAGCTAAGTGTATTTCATCTTCAAAGAAGGGTAGAAATGACGTGTATTTATTTTATGAATTCGACTGCTTACAGTGAATTTCAAATATAATAACATACACGTCTGAATATAGGCTACTTCACATACTTTTTTTTTATTTTCAGCAAATCTCATTTTCCAGCGATGGTTAGAGAACTGATGTAAAAAAGTAAAGATTTCTCTTTAGTTCTAACCATCCGTTGGGCAGGTGAAGTAGAGTGAAAGAGCTGATGCTCATGTGACTGACTCGTATAAGATGCAGCATGTCAGGTGACATTCGGTTGATAGTGAGAGATGTCAGGTGACATTCGGTTGATAGTGAGAGATGTCAGGTGACATTCTGTTGATAGTGAGAGATGTCAGGTGACATTCGGTTGATAGTGAGAGGAGTTTTTTTTTTATATTTTATACAGCCCATGTCGTCCTGTAGTTTCTAATCGAGCTAGGGTGATCAAAGGAATTGGTGGTGTGAATTAGCGTAAGGGCAATGAGTGATGTGAATTAGCGTAAGGGCAATGAGTGATGTGAATTAGCGTGAGGGCAATGAGTGATGTGAATTAGCGTGAGGGCAATGAGTGATGTGAATTAGCGTGAGGGCAATGAGTGATGTGAATTAGCGTGAGGGCAATGAGTGGTGTGAATTAGCGTGAGGGCAATGAGTGGTGTGAATTAGCGTGAGGGAAATGAGTGATGTGAATTAGCGTGAGGGCAATGAGTGGTGTGAATTAGCGTGAGGGCAATGAGTGGTGTGAATTAGCGTGAGGGCAATGAGTGATGTGAATAAGCATGAGGGCAATGAGTGATGTGAATTAGCGTGAGGGCAATGAGTGATGTGAATTAGCGTGAGGGCAATGAGTGGTGTGAATTAGCGTGAGGGCAATGAGTGGTGTGAATTAGCGTGAGGGCAATGAGTGGTGTGAATTAGCGTGAGGGAAATGAGTGATGTGAATTAGCGTGAGGGCAATGAGTGGTGTGAATTAGCGTGAGCCGTGTAGGGCAATGAGTGATGTGAATTAGCATGAGGGCAATAAGTGATGTGAATTAGCGTGAGCCGTGTAGGGCAATGAGTGATGTGAATTAGCGTGAGCCGTGTAGGGCAATGAGTGATCAGTTTCTTCCAGGCATCTCTTAGAAATGTGAGGTGTAGAAGGAGACAAAGGATGGGATATATGGTGGGGTGTGATAAATTTAGGTATATGGTGGGGTGTGTCATACATTTAGGTATATGGTGGGGTGTGTGATACAATTAGGTATATGGTGGGGTGTGATAAATTTAGGTATATGGTGGGGTGTGTCATACATTTAGGTATATGGTGGGGTGTGTGATACAATTAGGTATATGGTGGGGTGTGATAAATTTAGGTATATGGTGGGGTGTGTCATACATTTAGGTATTGTTGGGGTGTGTGATACATTTAGGTATATGGTGAGGGGAGTGATACTTCTCCTTCTTCTTCGTTCTTAATTGATCAGCAGGTTCCCCATATAATTTTTCCCTGAGTGGGGTGAGCAGGGGCCAGTGTTTGACTTGCGCCTGGCTATATAAAGAACATTCCTGAAGGGAGTGATACAATTGGGTACATGGTGGGGGTGTGATACAATGAATTAGGTATACGGTGGGGGGTAATATAATTGGGTATATGGGGGGTGATATAATTGGGTATACAGGGTGGGGGTGTGATTCAATTAGGTATATGGTGGGGGGTGATATAATTGGGTATACAGTGTGGGGGTGTGATACAATTAGGTATATGGTGGGTGTGTGATACAATTGATGCCCACAGGACCTACAGACACAACAGTTTAGGATTAGCATGTTGGAACAGCAGTCAAAAACTTGCACATAACAGTTTAGGATTAGCATGTTGGAACAGCAGTCAAAAACTTGCACATAACAGTTTAGGATTAGCATGTTGGAACAGCAGTCAAAAACTTGCACATAACAGTTTAGGATTAGTATGTTGGAACAGCAGTCAAAAACTTGCACATAACAGTTTAGGATTAGCATGTTGGAACAGCAGTCAAAAACTTGCACATAACAGTTTAGGATTAGTATGTTGGAACAGCAGTCAAAAACTTGCACATAACAGTTTAGGATTAGCATGTTGGAACAGCAGTCAAAAACTTGCACATAACAGTTTAGGATTAGCATGTTGGAACAGCAGTCAAAAACCTGCTGATATTTTAATAGACAAATACCATGGCCTCAAACCAAGTACTAACTTTAAATTTTCTGAACTAATTAAAGAATCAATGGAATATTGTGAAATGGACTATTGCAAATTTTGGTGGCCATTATTCATCAACGAACCAATAGGTCCCTGCCTACCTAGCTGTTTGTATAAGTCAGTGTGAATATAGCTTAGCTCAAGTTGCAGGACATCTGTAAAGGCAGTGATAACCTCTCAGTGATATCCTCTCAGTGATACCCTCTCAGTGATAACCTCTCAGTGATATCCTCTCAGTGATATCCTCTCAGTGATATCCTCTCAGTGATATCCTCTCAGTGATATCCTCTCAGTGATATCCTCTCAGTGATACCCTCTCAGTGATATCCTCTCAGTGATATCCTCTCAGTGATATCCTCTCAGTGATAACCTCTCAGTGATATCCTCTCAGTGATATCCTCTCAGTGATATCCTCTCAGTGATATCCTCTCAGTGATAACCTCTCAGTGATATCCTTTCAGAATTGTCATTAAAATCAACTAATGTATGTAACTAAATAAAATTTCTAAAGTCAGCAATATACACTTTTGAATAGAAAAGTATTTTTAAATTAGCAGGTTTCATTTGTAATTTTTAACTAGCAATACTTAATGCTTAATGAAACATACAACACAATTAAAATAGAAACAATTTTATTCATACATTTATTTAAAATATATTATAAAATGGAAGTTTCTTGATGTATGTGATGTCTTAAAACATTAACAAACATGTTGTAAAAATGCAGGTATTCAATGTAGACAAAAAACAATTTACAAAATGTACTTTTCATTAAAGAAAGTTATACTATATATGTATTTTATTCTAATACAAAAACTGATATAAATATTACGGTAAGAACCATTACAAAGCACTACACTTCAAGACTTAGAAACAAAACAATGGTTACAATACAATCATTCGATGTATTAAATGTATAAACTAAATTTTATTTAAAGAAGGAAAATAAAAATAAAGGCATATTCGAATGTAAAAACACATTTCTAGTTATGCCACCAGAAAAGTGTTTATGCTTGTGACAAGATCTCAAAAAAACAATGCAGTCACATTTCACATGTTTAAACTACGGAAAGTACACAACACTAATGGTGTCATCTTCCAAATTCAGAATATAAAGAAATGAACTTTTTCATTCAAATTTGGTTCAGATCTATAGATCTACTTATCAAGATGTTCACTATGTAATGTATACAATTTTCTTGGCCAAAACCAATACAAATTACTTTAAAAAACAACATAAATAACATAAGAGAATCATGTGTTATAAAATATATTTTTCAATAAAATATATTTGCCAAACAAGTAAATTATTAAAAATGTATAGGCCTATAATTTACATGAAACAGGTACCCATGGCTAGTAATATATTAAAGTATAACAAGGCAAATGAAATTCATAATAAATAATGTAAAATATAACAAAATTATTAAACACAGAAAGTAAGCGCATTGATTTTTTTTACTTGTCACATTGTTTTTACTTGTTAAAAATATTAACAGTGAAATAAAGCTGCATACAGACTTATTTGATGCAAAAGGTTAATTTTTGTGACTTCTTTTATGCCTACTTAATAGAAACTATTTAACACTAAAGGGATCAATGATGGTTGTTTTCAGATAGATTCACTTGAACTTTTTGAACAATTAGTTTCACCACACTTCACATTTTAAAAGTGGTTTTTCTGGCTTTTCTTAAGAATGTGTCTTTTTATGTCTCGTTAAATGAATTTTTTGTAAAAACTTTTTATGACAAATATCACATTCATGTTGCTTTTCACCTGAATGAGTTTTTTTATGTGTATTTAAATTACCTTTTTGCGCAAACAACTTATGACACACATCACATTTATAATATGGTTTGTCTCCAACATGAATACTTTTATGTGTATTTAAATTACCCAGTTGCAAAAACTTTTTATGACAAACATCACATTCATATGGTTTATTACCTAAGTGGAGTTTTTTATGTGTGAATAAATTACCCATCTGCACAAACATTTTGTGACAAATATCACATTTGTATTGTTTCTCACCTAAATGAATTTTTTTATGTGTATGTAAATTACCCAACTGCAAAAACATTTTATGACAAACATCACATTCATGTTGCTTTTCACCTGAATGAGTCTTTTTATGTGTATTTAAATTACCCAACTGCGAAAATGTTTTATGACAAACATCACATTCATGTTGCTTTTCATCTAAATGAGTCTTTTTATGTGTATTTAAATAACCCAACAGCGAAAATTTTTTATGACAAACATCACATTTAAAACATGGTTTGTCATCACTATGAATTTTTTTATGTGTATTTAAATTACCCAATTGCGAAATTTTTTTATGACATACATCAAATTTAAAACAAAGTTTTTCATCTAAATGAATTTTTGTATGTGTATATGTAGTTTTTTCTCTAGAATAAGTATTTTTATGTTTAGTTAAATGAGTTTTTTGCAAAAATGATTCATGACAAACATCACATTGATAAAGTGGTTTTTCTCTAGAATGACTAATTTTATGTCTTGTTAAATGAATTTTTTGTAAAAAATTTTTATGACAAACATCACATTGATGTTGCTTTTCACCTGAATGAGTTTTTTTATGTGTATTTAAATTTCCTTTTTGCGCAAACAACTTATGACACATATCACATTTATAATATGGTTTGTCTCCAACATGAATACTTTTATGTGTATGTAAATTACCTAATTGCAAAAACTTTTTATGACAAACATCACATTCATATGGTTTATTATCTAAATGAAGATTTTTATGTATAAATAAATTTCCCTTTTGTAGAAACTTTTTATGACAAACATCACATTCATGTTGTTTATCTTTAGAATGAATTTTTTTATGTACAAGTAAATTTCCCTTTTGCAAAAATGTTTTATGGCAAACATCACATTCATGTGGCTTATCTCCTAAATGAATTTTTTTATGTATAAATAAATTTCCTTTATGTAAAAACTTTTTATGAGAAACATCACATTCATATGGTTTATCTTTAGAATGAATTTTTTTATGTGTAAGTAAATTTCCTTTATGTAAAAACTTTTTATGACAAACATCACATTCATGTGGCTTGTCTCCTAAATGAATTTTTGTATGATTATATAAACTACCTTTTGTCACATACGTTTTATGACACACATGGCATTTAAAATATGGCCGATCCCTAAAACATGTGTTCTTAGTTATGGATAATTGGTCATTTTGTAAATAAGTTGTCACAGTAGTATTAGAAGTATCTGAGGGTACATTAAATTCATCTTGTCTACCTATAATTTCTCCAGGACTAATTGTGTTACCTGAGGGTACATTAAGTTCATCTTGTCTTCCTGTAATTTCTCCAGTACTATTAGAGTTAAATTCATCTTGTCTACCTGTAATTTCTCCAGGACTAATTGTGTTACCTGAGGGTACATTAAGTTTATCTTGTCTTCCAGTAATTTCTCCAGTACTATTAGAGTTATCTGAGGGTACATTCGATTCATCTTGTCTTCCAGTAATTTCTCCAGTACTAATCGTGTTACCTGAGGGTAATTCAACTTGTCCTCTCGTGTCTGATGTCTTATGTTGCTTGATATAATTCTGGCAAGAATGCTTTATTTGATGACATACATCCTGATTTTGTGAATGCTCTCTTGTTTGAAGGATCAAATGTTGTGTAATTTGATTTATTTGATGAATACACATGTATGGATTGTCTTGGGATTGTGACAGCTCTACATCTTTCATTTCATTACAAATCTCTGATTTGGAAACAGGAAAATTTGTATTGACAGGGATTGAATTTGATAAAAATTCCAGCTGTAAATTTGAAACATTTGGGTTTTTCCTGTCAGATGATGAAAATTCATTGGGCATGAGATTGTTTTCATAACTTTTTGTTAATAAATCTGGATGAATATTTTCATAAGTTGAAAATGCTGTAGATCTATCTGATTTCATGTCACCAACTGTTTTGATTGTATCACTTGATTCATGTATATCCATTAGGCAGCTAGCCAATGCTCCAGTGATAGGTTTCCCTTTTGTTTTGTAATGACTTTATTACCATTAATTGATTACCATCCTAGAAATAAAATAAAAATGACAGCTACCAACATTGATGATCTAACAAACATGTTTTTTATTTATTATAATCTGTCGGTAAAAAACTGTTTTCCATTCATTTTATTCAAATAGATGCTAATTTATTAGAGTAGGGAGCTTGAGATATAAATCTTTGAAGCAAGTATATCATATGGTAGTCAATCTAGGTCTAAGCAATGAAGTTAGTTATTAGCAGGGCTACCATTGTAATACATTTACAAAGTAGTAGATAAGAATGTTCTACAGTGGTAGAATGAAGGCAAAACTAACAAAAACACAATTTTTTTATCAGTACAATTAAGAATCTAATAGTAATATAGTTAATTTAATAGATCTAGATCTACTAACTAGTAGCCCTAGGCTAAAAGTATTTAAAAGTAAATTTAATAGCTGGTAATATCATGACATAGCATCGGTTATTATTCCGGAATGGTCACGCCGTTCCGGAAACCACCGGAAATACTGTAAACCATCATTTATTTGGCACCATATTATTTTTAATACACCATGTTTAAAAATGTACATAGATTGATTTTAGTTGCATTTTAAATACTGTTTTGCTAATTATTTTGTATTTCTAATCATTTGAAGTGTTTGTGCTAATTATTACTGCTACTAAACATTGTTCTTGTTCTGCTTACTACTTTTAACTTAACAGGCCTAAATCTAATCAACTTAATTTACTAGATCTAGAATCTAGTTGTTGCAAATCTTCTGCAAGTTTTTTTCTGCGTTTCTTAAAAAACATTAATTACTACACAAGACATTATTACTAATATTTTGATCTACTAATTGTCATGAATTTTCTGTCAATTAAACTTTGAATTAAGTTAAAACATTAATTTAACGCACTTGACTTTAGTTTTTATTTCAACGGTCAAATAAACTATGGTTTACTGTAACGAATGTTAACGAAACTCAACAAAAATTACCGGATAATTTCCAATGCTGTATTGTGAGATTACCTAATACTAATAGCCTTTATTATTACTTTTGGTAATCTATCGTTTTAGGAGCATAAAATCGGACGAGGCTAGTAATGTTGCCTGATTGGTAAGGCTTTATTAGAAGTATATTGTGAAATATTTGTGTCAAATATTAGGCCTATAGATAACTGAATAATAAACCAAAATCAATGGCTAAATATATCAATGTAGGCCAGAAATCAACTAGTTTATTCTTTTTTAGCTTATAATGTGTACAATAAAATTTGTGGCAGCCTATCAAATAGCAGGATGACATTGTTTATGTCGCCATTACACGTGGAAACCAAATTGTTTTTGCTTTTTTTTTTCTTTTTTTTTATTTAGTTACCGAAAATATTAAAAACATTTAGGCCTACATCAAATCTTTAGTAAAGTCAGAAAACAAAAAAAAGACAGACAGGATTTTATAACCATGTTAATTGTAACTACGCCGTGCATGATTTTTAAATTAATGAATGGGCCTCTCAAATACCTTTGAGACTTTTCTCGCTAGCTTCCACTATTGGATACACACTCAGACACTGGTTGATAAAATTTCTCCCGAATTTTAAATCTTCTAAAAAAAATCATGTTTTTGTCAGTAATCTATCGTTTTAGGTACGTAAAATCGCCCGCGACTAAAAATGTGAAAAACAGGTGACTCCTTAAATTTTAATAATTATTTAACATTTTGAGGAGGATTTATGTTATGAAAAATACAAAAATGTTCCCTTGTTTCATTAAATAACATTTATGTACCTGTTTTTAAACAATTGAATTAAAACTTTTCAGTAATAAATGAAGACTGCCGATGTTTCCAACAGATGCAACCATGCACATTTACTATGGCAGCCATCTTGTTTATTTTTTTTTTACTGTAAACTTATAGCGCAAGATTCTGGGGAAGCCACTCTAACTTTCAGATGGCCGCTTTTTATATAGCAAATCCTGCTGTTTAGTGTTTAAAGTTAATTTCTTGCCTAAAAGGCACTATAGGGCCTATAAAATATATAGATCTAGTATATAGATCTAGGCCTAATATTATATATATTGATAATTTGATAGGCCTAGCCTATATTTACTAATATTCATTATAATATTTAGCCTTTGATTTAGGCCCCTATGTTTTTTATTTATTATTCATTTAGGCTATCTATAACATTTGACACAAATATATCACAATCATATAGCCTACTTCTAATAAAATAAAGCCTTGACGATGTGGTAACTTTTTCGTACATTATTACATTTACTAGTCTAGAAGTAGAATCTAGCCTTCTAGTCGTGGGCGATAATTTTACGTACCTAAAACGATAGATTACCTTTTTGTCTAATAATTATAATAATAATGCTCCCACTCGACAACGCCATCCAACTTGCCTTTAATGTGGTATAAAATTAAATAATTATTTACCACTGAGAGTCAAATCAAAGTCCTGAAATTATATTCCAACAACGCTGTTTCAGATGTAAAATTAAAATTTGAAAACGAGCGGCCATCTTTACCGAAAAATATTTAGAGTACTTTCCCACTTGAAAAGAGTCTATTTGGATGTAAATGTATTGATTTTTTTTCTGTTAAATATCCTTTTCTGTGAACAAATTGTTAACGGGGGGCAACGGTAGACTTTCTTCGGGGGGACGGACACTGTTAAAAGTATATATTTTCTATATAAATTATATAAATTTCATTTCGTTTGGGAGGACGGTAAATGTTTGTCTGGAAGAAACTCTGTTGTTAACCCTTATTAACTTGTTTATATACATTGTATTAAATAGCAAGCGTGTTTTGTTTTTCGCCTCTAAAATGTATTATACTGATAATATTAATCACAAATTTAAAAAATATCGTCGAATTCAATACATTTTTTTCGCATCCATTATCGCAACGAGAGGTGGGGGTGAGTGGAGCTAAAGAATTGTGACGTGGTTAAGTAATACCTTTCTAATCACGTTAAAAATCATGTGTTTTTGGATGAGGAGTGACGATAGAGGATAGGCCGATAGAGCTAAAGAAAATAGCATGTCGCGTTGGTGGACGGCCATATTTGAGGCTACATTTAATGGAAACCACTATTACCGTCCTATAAAATGCATGGGGATTATTTTTTTTAACAAAACTATAAATAAAAAAATCGTATAAACATTTTTATTTTTAAAAATGTTATTTGAATTTAAACCTAATTCAAATCAAATTAGCTCTAAAATAATAGTCTAAAAAATAAATTATGACCATAACGGAAGGGAAAAATACTAGGGGGAAGAAGTTTCACTTTCTTAAGTGTCGCAGTATTTTTCATGGTTGTTTCCCTTTGACCGTTGAACATTAAAAACAAATAAGGGAGGTGACTAGTAATAATTTGTATTACCGAAAAAGAATATTCTTGTATCGTCCCTTGTTCTAGAAAACCTAATTAGACGGATTCAATCTTTAAAAGTTGCTAAAATTATTAACAAAAATTTGCCCTTTATAACAGAACAAGCGGTGTTTAATAAAGATAATTGTATGGGGTAATGAATGAGTACTTCTTTAAAATGTAGCACTTTTAAAAATATAATTGTTTTTATTCCCACTGTTAGCGAACCAAATCAAATAATTTTTGTTTTTAAATAATAATAATAATAATAATAATAATAATAATAATAATAATAATAATAATAATAATAATAATAATAATAATAATAATAATAATAATAATAATAATAATAATAATAATAATAATAATAATAATAATAATAATAATAATAATAATAATAATAATAATAATAATAATAATAATAATAATAATAATAATAATAATAATAATAATAATAATAATAATAATAATAATAATAATAATAATAATAATAATAATAATAATAATAATAATAATAATAATAATAATAATAATAATAATAATAATAATAATAATAATAATAATAATAATAATAATAATAATAATAATAATAATAATAATAATAATAATAAAGCCATTTTGTACAGACAGAAATTTATTCGTTGCTTTGTTCCAACATTTGAATTGAGTTGGAAGGTAATGCTTCAAGCTAGTCTTTAATTGCCTTATGGCAACAACGCTATTTTAAACATATAAAATATCGAACTGGTGATAACAACTATTTATTTACAAAAACAAATATGGAACAAACTTTTAACATTATTTTGTGATTAATTTAAAGCCTGCTTGACCTATGTATAATTCATGAAAAATGTTAGCCGAATTTGAATGTTTAAAATCTTTAAGTAGTCTTAGATTGATAGATGATTGCATATAGGCCTTCGTGTTGTAACTTATCTAAAAAAAACGTTATTTCCATAGTTTATTATGAAATTATTTTTGACTAATAAATATCTAATTTGCTGCGTAGACATGAAATTATAATAGACCTAGTAGTTTTGTTTGTATATAGCCTATTTTATTAACTTGATGCATAAAAAGCTATTTTAGTCATTGTGAACAGAATAATTAGGTATCTTTAGCGGATATTCAAATTTCCTTCGTATTATTTAGTAACTAAGAGAAAGAACTTTTCTATTATAGAATTTTTTTTAATTTTACACAGTTGTGTCCCTTGATTTTCCCATACGTATATTTTGATGACGTCATTCGTATATTTGATAACCGGAAGTCTCTTATGCCTGTTATTTTCATTGACTTTGCAGGAAGGAAGGAAGATTTGTCACTTGCAATTTTGTAAACAAACCATATTCGAGCAGTGGTTGTATAATTCGTTGTGCCATACTTATTGCGGTAGTGCTTATTCCCGATAGCTATTCAACAAGGCAACAGCTTGGATTCTTTTGGTTTTAAATTTGTGAGGTAAGGAATCACTTTTAAAAAATAACCTTAGGCTTCGGCCTCGGAAAACAATTTTTTATGTGTTTTTTAGTTAGTGGGGCCTATTGAAATTTATTTCAGTGCTAAGGCCTAGATCTAGGCCTGTTTAATAAAATATATAGCCTAGGGCCTAGGCCTATTTATTTTTTTATTAGCTTTTTAGACCTTAAAAAGTGGTCAAATGAGTTAACCCAGGCTAATTAAAATCTAATTAGGCCTAGCTAGGCCTTAATAAGCCTTAAATTTAATTAGGCCTAACTAAGTCACTTAGGCCTAATATAGGCCCTAATAATAATAAAAAATATTAGGCCCTATTAGCCTATCTAAATAATAGGCCTAACTACCTACTTTTAAATTTTAGGGCCTAATTAAAATTATGTTTGCCTAACTTTGCTAGATCTGGAAAAATCTAGATAATATTAGTATTAATAATTAACTTATTAAATTATCCTAGGCCTAGACCCAATAATTTAATTAAATTTAGGTAGGCCTAGACCCTGCCTTGTACCTAGGTTAGATAGTTATTATTTATATTTATAGGCCTACTATTCATTTAATTCAGGCCTATGTTTAGTATTTTAATATTTGTTATTTATGCCAGATGGCCTAATTTTAGGCCAAATTTATTAATTTAAAAATAATTTAGCCTTATTCGCATGATAGTAATACATACTAAATTAAAATTAGCCTAATAGATAACACTATGTCTATAAAGTTATAAAGAATATAAATTGTCTATAATAGATGATAGATGCCCATATAGTGAATGGTGACTCTAGTAGTAATAATCAGCTAGAATTTTCATCCCGAACTTATAAAAATACAATAGCAAGAGTTATAAGGTTATGTCAAGTTGTGGTGGGGACTTAGATTCTACATTATTAATTATAAAACCTCTGGTATCAAACAAAAAATTTGATTAAACTACCACAACCCTAAAAATCTGGCACAAATCCTCATTTTTTGACCCTGACCGAACATGATATACTAGAGATGATGAAAGCTCTATAGACTGTTTATGTGTTATGCCTCATTGCCTGTTTTTTTACCACCTGAATATTTTTCATTGGTTTACCATTGTCTTAGGTTTACCATCTATACTGTGGTACCCATTTACCATTTGCATGTCTTAGGTTCACCATCTATACTGTGATATCCATTTACCATTTGCATGTCTTAGGTTTACCATCTATACTGTGGTACACATTTACCATTTATAAGTCTTAGGTTTACCATCTATACTGTGGTACCCATTTACTTTTGCCAGGTTTGATTTGTTGTACAGATGCGCTATGAAAGCACACCTAGAAAGAAAAGTATGCGGAATCAGATTCATATGCCAATAGGCACATAACATGTTGTCATTCTAGACTTTGTTCTGTTTGAAGAAAGGCCTTGCAATATTTGTTTGGTCCCCTCCAATCTGACAAATCATACAGAAGATATGCCATGCAATACAGTCATGTTACAAAACATAGTCCCTCAGTTCAGTAATTATACAGATGATATGCCATGCAATACAGTCATACAAAACATTGCCCCTCAATTCAACCTCACCTCTCAATTTGCTTGTCATGTAAACAATAACTCTCAAGGGCTCTTAAGTTTGATAGTGACAAAAGTGGTGGACTATACTAAATGATTTATTGCTTCACAACTATAAGGAAAATAAATCCTGCATTCTATTTCATGTAATGATAGTTTTTGTTCTTTAACTTTACCAAATTTTCTGAAGGATTCTCTGCTCATTTAACTGTGGTTGATTCTATTTTATGAAGTTACTAGGTGAAATCTAGAAAGTAACTATAATTGGATGGGATTAAAGAGCAAGAGAGCCAGGATATATCCCTCCATCCCTGCCCCTCTGGTGTATAGAGAGCCAGGATATATCTCTCCAGCCCTGCCTGCCTGGTGTAGGGAGAGCCAGGATATATCTCTCAGCCCTGGTGTATGGAGAGCCAAGATATATCTCTCCAGCCCTGCCTGCCTGGTGTATCCCATGAGGCCGTGTGTTGACATTTGTTAAGGATACCAATTAGCAGACTCTGTCTTGTGATTTAACCTTCTCCCAGCGCTATTTCCAGACTTACCATTGATTTTCTTGACATGTTGGGATACTATCTGTTTTTGGCACTCAGTGGTTTCATGTTTTTGTCATCTTTTTTTTTCTATCCTCCGTATTGTTTTCTATGTTTCGATATTTTTGGCATATAATTGTGTGTGTTCCAATGTTTTTGTCGTATTATTTTGTGTGCTCCGAGGTTTTATTCATTCATGGCTTCGGGGATTTGATGTTGTTGTTTTTTTTAAATCTGTAAGTGTGGTGTGGTGTAAATAAGATGTATTGTCATATTAATTCAGTGTTGCTTTAGTAAAACTTCTCATTATAGCCCATTCGTTCAGTGAATCGTGTTTTGTTTTGTTGAACCAAATTTAATTTCCCCATCTCAGAAAGGTCGTGCCGCTAGTATGTATCAGTGTACTCATTGAAGAGATTTAAACTACACTAGTCTTTCTAGATCCGCAGCGGGGTTTCCATTCAACTTGCTCTAGGTCTTTTAACATGTATTGTAAGATTTTGAGCTGCGTGGTGTGGCTATTTCAGGGGGGTGGTGTCTACTTTTTCAGGGTGTCTGCTACTTGATGTAACTGTGACCTGCCCGCCTGTAAGTCGGTTACAAAACGTCTCCCCCATACAACGGATACAACATCACTCATGTTGGTCCCTGCAGCCATTAGTGAAAAACATTTCTGTTCTAGAGTATCTGGTGCGTCTAGGTGATAGGTAATCTCCTTCCCGTGTCGCTATATACTGAGGGGAGTGGGGGGGGGGGGGCGGACACAGTCAACTGACTGGTTTACGTAATGTCCTCCTTCCCATGTCGCTATATACTGAGGGGGGTGGGGAGGGGGGGGGACGACGACACAGTCAACTAACTGGTCGACGTAATGTCCTCCTTTCCGTGTCGCTATATACTGGGGGAAGGGGGACGACACAGTCAACTAACTGGTCTACGTAATGTCCACCTTTCCGTGTCGCTATATACTGGGGGAAGGGGGACGACACAGTCAACTAACTGGTCTACGTAATGTCCTCCTTCCCATGTCGCTATATACTGTGGGGGGTGGGGGGCGACACAGTCAACTAACTGGTCGACGTAATCTCAGCGCACTAAAACAGCATGATTGTGACATACTAATTAAGTGAGATACGAGGCGAAGGTTGTAAACTTCAGCTAGTTATGGCCCAGCTGATGTAGATGAGCGACTTACCAGTCGATATAATGCCTATTGATTTTTGTATCGTTACTTGCTTATAGTCTTTCATCGAGTGTATTGTTGTCGTGTGTCTGGTTGATGTGGCTGTTGACATCAAGTGCCAGTGTTGTTGTCGTGTGTCTGGTTGATGTTGCTGTTGACATCACGTGCCAGTGTTGATGTCTGGTTGATGTTGCTGTTGACATCACGTGCCAGTGTTGATGTCGTGTGTCTGGTTGATGTTGCTGTTGACATCAAATGTTGATTAGTGCCTGGTTGATGTTGCTGTTGACATCACGTGCCAGTGTTGATGTCGTGTGTCTGGTTGATGTTGTTGACATCACGTGCCAGTGTTGGACCATTGATTCACCTGTACCGTGACGTACACCGTTTGTTTTCTTGTCCTGCCGCCTCTTATCTAATCCATCTGGTGCCCCCCCTCCCCCCATCATCCACCATCCCCACCCACTCCACCATTCCAGATACTGATCGATCGATATCTGTAGGGCGCTTTTAGAAATATGAGACTGTAAGGGCTGTCTGATGGGCTTTCGTGTGTGTATCAACATGGGCTTTCTGGTGTGTGTATCAACATGGACTGTCTGGTGTGTGTATCAACATGGACTGTCTGATGGGCTTACGTGTGTGTATCAACATGGGCTGTCTGATGGGCTTTCGTGTGTGTATCAACATGGGCTGTCTGATGGGCTTTCGTGTATGTATCAACATGTGCTGTCTGATGGGCTTTCGTGTGTGTATCAACATGGGCTGTCGTGTGTGTATATACATGGGCTGTCTGATGGGCTTTCGTGTGTGTATCCACATGGGCTGTCTGATGGGCTTTCGTGTGTGTATCAACATGGGCTGTCTGATGGGCTTTCGTGTGTGTATCAACATGGGCTGTCTGGTGGGCTTTCGCGTGTGTATCGACATGGGCTGTCTGGTGTGTGTTTCAACAAGGGCTGTCTGATGGGCTTATGTGTGTGTATCAACATGTGCTTTCGTGTGTGTATCAACATGGGCTGTCGTGTGTGTATCAACATGGGCTGTCTGATGGGCTTACGTGTGTGTATCAACATGTGCTGTCGTGTGTGTATCAACATGGGCTGTCTGATGGGCTTACGTGTGTGTATCAACATGTGCTGTCTGGTCTGTGTATCAACATGGGCTGTCTGATGGGCTTTCGTGTGTGTATCAACATGGGCTGTCTGATGGGCTTTCGTGTGTGTATCAACATGGTCAACATGGACTGTCGTGTGTGTATCAGCATAGGCTGTCTGATGGGCTTTCGTGTGTGTATCAACATGGACTGTCGTGTGTGTATCAACATGGGCTGTCTGATGGGCTTACGTGTGTATCAACATGGACTGTCGTGTGTGTATCAACATGGGCTGTCTGATGGGCTTACGTGTGTATCAACATGTGCTGTCTGGTATGTGTATCAACATGGGCTGTCTGATGGGCTTACGTGTGTATCAACATGTGCTGTCTGGTATGTGTATCAACATGGGCTGTCTGATGGGCTTTCGTGTGTGTATCAGCATGGGCTGTCTGATGGGCTTTCGTGTGTGTATCAACATGGACTGTCGTGTGTGTATCAACATGGGCTGTCTGATGGGCTTACGTGTGTGTATCAACATGTGCTGTGTGTATCAACATGGGCTGTCTGAGGGGCTTACGTGTGTGTATCAACATGTGCTGTCTGGTCTGTGTATCAACATGGG